TTATAAAGAGGATGTAGCGCGAGTATTAAACATGGGCTTGCTAGAAATCCAATGTTAGCTCTCCTTCTTAAATTCTGCTTTTTATTTAGCTACTCCTATACAGTTGTTGAGTTCGCGCCTGGTTTGCGCATTTGGTCCATACCTTCCGCTGTCGTGTCCCAAATTTTTCCAACACAACCCCAACAATGATCCTTAAGCGCAATGACTTTGACCCTCTGGCCGCATGCCAAATGCCTCTATCAATCTTTTTGTATTGTCGATTAACTCACGAATGCAATCTTTACATAATATAGCGCCGGCCCCATTTATGACTCTTTCGCGCAGATTTGCTACTGATGAAGTCATCAGCATGGATGTCTACCGTTGCAGTGTATAAGTTTGGGAAACCAAGAAGAAATCCTATTTTTAAGCGCATTTAGCACATGATTAAGTGGTTTCAAGAACGATACACTCACTAATAAATGTGAGAGTTCACAATTTCTTCTGCATCGATTTGTTGTTGCCTGCTTCATCCATCCAGATCGATTTTTGTTATTACTGATTTTCTGCATTTTTCGCCTTAGGCTCCATCCATAGCTGACGATTGGTGGCGCTTGCGATGGCTTCTACGCATAAGGTGCGTATTGATTACCGCGGCATGACGCGGCTTCTCTGGCATCTGACGCCATTGCGATTGTGACCCGCTATAGCTGACGATGGCAGCGTCGGCCGGCTTCCTACGGCAATCGCCAGCCTTAGCGAAAATCGACGCCGCTAGAAGTCTCTCTGGATAGACTTCTCGCGGCGTCAAGCGGCGATTTTGATGCGCTTTTGCAATCTTTAACATTTTTTTTCTTTCGCAAATAAATAAATTGAGAAAAATATAGAGAAAATTCAGTTTGCCATCAGGAAGTTGTGGTAATTAAGGTTTCACGGTGACAATGGTGGAAATTATCTACTAGCCATGAACGTTCATTTATAATTTGTTGAAATAGGTGCATATATAATGAAACAAAAGAATACAGAATGAATAGTATCCCTCTAATACAGATGACCTTATACCATGATACCCCTTTATTAACTGCAGTTGCCTGAAGCAAGCCTCCAGGAAGTAGACATTACTAC